AAAAATGAGGTTATTTGCAAAATAAAAGTATTAATTTATTGTAAATGGCTTGTTTTATGAGAAGTTGTCCCAATATTTACCGAAAACTAGATGAAGTTTTGAAATACAAAAGCCATCAGCGGTCATTGCATATAAAAATTACTCAACTTCGATTCGTCGATTTGTACCACGTCGCCAGGTCCACCCAACATATCGTCGTCCAACATAGTTAAATAAAGATGAAATCATCATCAAAAAATTTGCAATGTTCTTCTTTGTTATGTTTTCATTATTTAGTGACTCGCAACAGCTACTTTTTTAGAAATTTCTCATATATACATATATATATATATATATATATATATATATAATTGTTAATTGGGAAAATTGGCAAATCTCTTAGGCTTAAGTTGACTCTTTTGACGATAAAATCAAGCTTTCGGCATTCTCTATGGAGCCTTCATCAGGATTCTGAAAACACAATTGTGATGCTAGCAAAGAAAACAGGACAGATTTAAATTGTTAGACAACTTATTCGTCGGTGAGGTTGCAGCCACAAGGTGTTTCAGAACGAACGTAGAGAAGATCGAAATTATAATCAGTATAACAACAAAAGGACGGGGACATTGGGTTTGTTGTAAAACGGCAGATACCTTCGTTAAATGTTAAAAATATCAATCCACCCGAACAAGTTAAAAATATTACACGTGAGACGACATTTTGTTGAAACAATCGGAATGCAGGCTAACCTTCTGTACCCGCAACACGTGGAGAGGGGGACGGCACGGAAAGATAAAGCGTCGACAGATGACAAGTGATTGACGCGACGGACCGTGGAACTGTAAACCTCTCTGTCCAGCTTTCGGTATGAAGTATACGAGGGACGCTCCCAAAATTACTAAAATGGTGAATTAACTTGTCTTTGACATTTTTTTTTCTTTGTTTAGCTCATATGAGTGTAAGCATGTGTGACATTGATAAAACCTTGAAAAGATGGGTTTTGTGAGTTTATATTAAAAATGTGAGTGAGAAAATGTATTCCAATTTTGTGAAGATGTTGGTTCAATTTGGAATTGTAGCCGTTCTAGCTTTTCGCAATTCAACAGGTAGGGATAAATGACACTGAGCTGCTTGACATCAGCCTTTTTATTCATGCAATGATCTGTCATGAAAATGTGGGACATTTCTAAAAATAAACGTTTTGAGAGTCTTTTTCCTTTATCAAGAACCTCAACACTGTCATAATTCATGTGTTGTTAATATGCGATGCCAAAGCACATCTCTCTGGATGTAATCTGGCGTTACTTTTGTGTGAAGTTATCCTGCCTTTCAGCGACCTAGAAGTTTGGCCTATATAAACCAAATTACAGTTGTTGCAATTAATACGATAGACAGTATTGGTTGAATCAAGCAACTGAACCTTATCCTTTATTTTGGACAACAAACTGTAGACTGTGAGCACTGATTAAATATCAATCCGAACTTTTAACATTTAACGAAGGCATCTGTCGTTTTTCAACAAGCCCAATGTCCCCGTCCTTTTGTTTTTTATACTGATTATAAGTTCGATCTTCTCTACGTTCGTTCTGAAACACCTTGTGGCTGCAACCTCACCGACGAGTAAGTTGTCTGACAATTTAAATCTGTCCTTTTTTCTTTGCTAGCATCACAATTGTGTTTTCAGAATCCTGATGAACGCTCCATAGAGAATGCCGAAAGTGAGATGTTATCGTCAAAAGAGTCAACTTAAGCCTAAGAGATTTGCCAACTTCCCAATTAACAATTAATTGTATTTTGTACCCAACTGGTCGTTGGCTTTGGCAATGACTACTGCTTATATATATATCACCATACCCCCTTGATTCTGCTTCAAAGTGAAATATTATTAATAAGATTCCCAATCCTTGGGTAAGAAGTGGAACATCCCAACATCGAAGATATTATGCACCCCCCTTCAATTGTCACCAACGGGTTGGCTAGTTCTCAGCATTTTTGATCCTGCACAACCTGCAAATCAAACATCGCATTTTCATGGCAATCATGTGCACATTTTTGTGCTAGTATAAGTAAGAATTTGAGAAACCAAATATCAAGGTAGGTATAGTAATATCCATGATTTGGCAACATCACAACTATATGCCGAAATTATGATAGTGATGGTGGTGTAATGATGGGAATATTTATCTGAAATAAAAGAAATGACTACTTAACAATGTTCTATTTTCACCATTACAATAATGCAAAATTGCATTGTTGCGATGAACAGTGTCACAATAATACATGTATGTTACTATATTTTCATGTAATTTTGAGCAATCTTTTGTGTAAACAAGATAAAAACAGCTCATAAAGCAGAATTCTATACCACAGTACTACCACCCAAAAAGCAACTTTGAAGTTCTATAAAATAGCAAGTAGACGGTCCCTTGAAGGAAACATAATATTTTTGTAGAAGTTACATGATAATCTTTCATTTTAAATAAAATATTTGCGATATGCGCTAAAGTATAGTTCAGCCTAATCTTCTGACCATCTGAATGTGCAATAAAATACGAGATATTCCGTTAAGTTTTGCAGATGTGTCGTTTTCTTTATAGGATATTTCATATTTTATTCCATATACCACCTTTCAAGATAATGAGATTGATATACACACTATGGCGGTTTAATAATTGATAACCATTTTTTAAGATTATTTATTCATGCCTCAATTAATTATCCTGAATTTCAGATTTCTAGCGTGACCCGTTCAAAACAAGAGTTTTTGACATTATCGTAAAGGTTTTACAGTGGACTAGTTGAATTACGTGCGTAGCTAGGCAGCGTTATATAATTACAAATAATTTGTTTAAATGACTGTATTTTATAGTTCCTGATAGTCAAATAAGTTTTAAAAGCTTGATCCGTATATGTACCTAAAATTTATCGTAAAATGTTCATATTCTTTAATAGCGGTGAGGTCAAATCCGATTTGTAGAAGGTCTCGCGCTTCACAACTGACGCTTCATTTTTTAATATTGTCGAATCAATATTTTACAGTGCTGAAAACAAAACCCCACAGGGCAGAAAAACGAAATTAAAAAACTGATTATATAGCGCTCTGGACAATTTTGTTCTGAGCACACTGTATACATTTCATTCTAAAACATTGAACAATGGAGTGTCAGTCACGAAGCAGCTGAACGCTTGTAAATGGCTTGAAACTCACGTCGAAACGCCTTAATATCACTTGGTGGCGCTCTTGTGCTATTGTTTGTTTCATTAGAACTCTACATGCACAATTTAAATGTGCAGAATAAAAAATATGAACCATCGAACCGATTATTTCGCTTTCCATTTCTTGGTTTGCTGAGCTGAAATCTGTCCACACGCTTCTACCGGACCAATTTTTTTTACTGCAGACTAACGATGACATGAATCATAGTCGATCTGTCTCTCTCCTATCATCAGTCATCGTGTAAAAAATCTGCCGGCGATTAAAACGCAATTGTACAGTGAAAAAATAACAAACTGCTCTCATCAGGTGCACTGCACAACAAAACGTGTGATGGGGGCTCAGGTCCATTTATCTTGAACATCACTGCAGGAGGTCAATTTATTCAGTCCAAATCGCCCCTCATATAGCTTCATATATAAGCGATCGTTTTGGTATCATTGTATGTGAATGAGGAGGGCAGCTCAGCTTGATGGATTTTTATATACGAGTATGAGGTGTTTCTTGTTTAGTCTGAACCGTATAAGTGTGATATACTAAAATTTCATAAAATCCAACTACAGTGCAACCCGCTTATAATGGACTCGGCGGGAGTGTGACAAATAGTCAATTATAGGGGGATGACCATCTTAAAAGAACCACTTTGTTTAATGAAAAAAGCAGCAGAAATAACATATTAAAAGCTTAAAATGTGTTTGTTTAACGTGTATTACATAAATAAAGGTACATACAAAAAAGTTAACCATAATTTTGAAATTTGCATTTTTTCAGAATCTGATAATACGCATACGAGTATTACAGGTATACGTACTGTAAAAACCATAAATTATTTGGTAAAAAAGCTAGTGATTTTTCATTTGAACAGATTGTTTCTTTGTATAATTATTTAGAACAGCTAGTTGAATTTTATTTAATTTGGTAAGTGTGGTTGTACTGTCTTCTTTTTGCTGAGAATAACTATGCAATTTTTTCACGCAGTCTAATGCCTCCTTAGTTATCACCAGAAGTTCTTCTTCATCGTTGTTTGCTAGCTCGTCTTCCTGTTCGCTATCAACGGATGTTTCATTAACCAAATTGGAGTTTGACAATTCCTGTGTTGCTATTAAATTATTGTCAACATTTACATACCCATTAAATTTGTCTATATTCAGTGAACTATTAATTTTCAGTAAATCACTTAATGGAATTTTATCTTCTGGATTAAAATCGTTGACTATTTCGTTTATGTTTTTCGTTAAACCAGCATGGCGAAACAATAACGAATCGTTTCTGCAAATTCATCGCATCTAAAACGGTGACAGCTTTGGTAATGTTGACATCTTCTTGAAGCTCCATAATTTTCATCAACATATATCCGGATATCCGATACATTTGTTTAAGACTCCAAATGACACCCTGGTCCATTGGTTGCAGAACAGATGTCACTTGGGTTTAAAAAATTGAAGGTTGATGTTATTAAGTGAAATACACACATCATCAAAAGTGTTCGATCCCCTGGCGTCCTGGGAAACTATAGCCTTCTAATTTCAATCTTTGGTATATTTTAAATTGCGGATATTTTTACAATATTTATTTAAGAAAACGTTAAATTAATTTCGTTAATATGAAAAGAAAAAGAAAGTTGAACAAGTAAGGTACCAAAAATTTTATTTTTAAAAATCAAAATTAAAGAAAAATAATTGTTCTAAAGAAAAATAAAACATAACTAATAACCAGTTCTGTGTCCTCTAGATCTTAGCAGTGCGTTAACATGCCTTGGAATTCCTATTATTCGATGGTTAGTGTTTTCTTGGGGTAAATTATTCCACTATTCATTTACTGCTGCAGCAAGCTCATTTAGGGTTGTAGGTGGATCTATTCTGTTCCGTACGGCTCGAGCTATAGTGTCCCAAATGTTTTCAATGGGGTTCATGTCTGGGCTGTTCGCAAGCCACGGCAATTTCACTATTTGGCCCCTTTCTAGTGCCCGCTGGACCCTTCTCGTTCTATGTGGCCTTGCATTATCATCCATGAAAATGGAGTTGTTACCGAATTTATTTCGCAAAGGTTGAATAATGGGTTGTATGACATTTTCTTCATAAATTTCTGCAGTCATTGTCCCCTGGATCTGAATTAAGAAACTCCGGTGGTTAAACATTATGCCTCCCCAAAATATTATTGATCCGCCCTGATATGGGACAACTTCTCGGGCCAAATTTAGTCGCTGTTGATGTCCTGGTTCTCTCGAAACCCTTATTCTACGGTCATCACTCACCAGTCCAAACCTAACCTCTTCTGTAAATACCACATTGCGCCACTGTGGTAAAAGCCACTCCTGATGTTTTCTAGCCCACTGGAGACGAGCAGCAATTTGTCTACGAGTAAGACGTGGAACCCTTAAAGGTCTTCTAGCGCGCAAATTTGCCATTCACAATCTTCTTCTGATGGTAGAAGTAGAAATAACTCTTCGAAAGGTATGTTGAATATGCGATCTGATAGCTGTACTTGTTGAAAATCTATTCCTTTGGGCAAATAGAGCAATGTAACGATTCTCCCTATCATCTGTTACTCGAGAACGTGTGGCCAATTTTCAACTGAGCCAGTTTCTTGGAATCTTTGAATTGTTCGGATAATCGAACTTCTTGGGATAACCAAATCTAGTGCTATTCGGTGATTTGAAAATCCAGCTTGGAAGAGGGCTACTATTCGTATTCTATCAAAACCAGAAATTTCAGCTCGCGGCATTTTAAAAGTTACAGTATAAAATTTTATTTTAATACTTTTTGCTCAAATACTACCGTTAAACTGACTTATTCTAGAAAATCCAAACACATTTTTATCTCAACGGTTTTTTACGTTTTTTGCTTGCTAAATACGAGTATATAAAGATTTTTTGTTCACAAACAGAATGTAGATAACGTACCTCCAGACGGGGGTCCAACACTTTTGATGATGTGTGTATTTGGATGAGTTATCGACCAAGAGCAAAATTTTACGATTTTTCTTAACAAATTCAGCGTCCCACTTTTTTGAATATTCTTCAAAAATTGATGAAGTCATCTAAGCTTTATTATTTCCAACATAATCGACGGGAATTGCTCTAGCATTATTGAAACACTTGGCATTCTTAAATTTCCCTGAAATAAAAAAAGGTAATAAATTCTTTGCAACACTGCCATTGGACATGAAAAAAATTAGATCATGAATTTCTATTCATTGACTTACCTATTGTCAATAGTTTCCGTTTTTCAGTACCAGAAGCATTAGCACAAATCATAACAGTTATTCGCTCTTTTGATAGTTTCCCTCCATTGCAAGTTTCACCTTTTAATTTATGAGTTTTATCTGGTAGCATTCTATGAAATATCCCGGTTTCATCTGCATTGAATATGTTATCATGTGAATAATCACTGGATATTACGGGCCAAACTTGGGAAATCCAGTCATTGGCAACGTTCTTGTCAACTGGAGCTGACTCACCACACATTTTTCCAAAAACAATGTTATGTCTTTTCTTAAACCTGTCTAGCCAAGCGGAACTACATTTGAGGTAATCTCCAATCAATTTCCCAAATTCTTCAGCTTTTATTTGTAGCATAGATCCACTTATTGGAATATTATTAACACGTTTTGTTGAAATCATTTAAACAGCATACCATCGACTTGGGGATGCAGCAATAGCAGCATTTTCTTCTTTTGTCTATTTGATTTCCAGTCATTTTTAATTTTGTCACGGCTTTTCCAAATATTTGACACAGTGGATTTTTTTATAGCCATACGAGCACATATATTTGTTTGAGATGAACCCTGCTCAAGCTCACTAATTATTGTGAACTTTTCGTGAAAGTAAATGCACGTTTCGCACTTTTCGACATTTTTAGAACTACCAAAATAGCTCGCATATAATGGATTAAAATAGTCCGCTATAAGCGAAGGTCTATTTTAAGCGAGTCTATAATATCCGAGGATTTTACACGCAATTATTTATAGTACTTTAAATTGTGTCCATTATATTCGGGTTTCCATTATAAGCAAGTTCATTATAAGTGGATTCCACTGTATCAGATTTTGAGCGAAATTTCTAACTTTGAGAGTTTTATTTGACGGGCTACAGCCCAAACAGCTTGATAGATTTTGATATTTTAGATAACCTTAGATGCGTCTTGATAGCACAATTAATTGTTCATCCATTTCAGTTACTGGAGTGGAAATATTTGTATTTTCCAAAAATGTATCGGCCAGAGCCTCTGGAGGGGGGGGGGTAGAGGAGGGGTGGCACACTTCGACAATTCAAACCTAGCAGGGTAATTTTCGAAAATGTTTTGAAAACTGAAAAATACACACACGCCGCTCATTGCTTAAGGAACGGGTACCCTGTTAGTCAAATTTCACTCAAGCCAAAGCTTGTAAGGGCATGTGCCCCCCTTGATCCCCTAATGCGCCCTCATGCAGGAGGACACCAGAATGCATATCAGGAAAATGCTAGAGCAGAGAAACGTGTGGTTGTAGGATACTAGAAAAAGTCGTATTGAGCTGCTTTATTGATGCGTTTACAAAAAGAACATGGTTATGCAAATAAATTATTTGAATAGTGAATGTTTAGGGAATCCCTGGTTGCAGATTCTGTACCTGGGACAGGTACCTATTTCTAGCTTATTGATCCAAAGCTTTTCTGTGGGATATTTTCAAACTTGAAAGTCTGAAATACTGCAATTCGTTTCTTATCTCCCTTCTTATTCTTCCAAATACTTTTAAAAAACTTCCATTCATCATAAGATAGGCATTGACAAGTTATAAGGCTTACTTGCTAAGTTGTTGAATTTATCCTTGAAATTTCCATTATATTTTAAGGCATGCGTAATTATACTATTTGCATAGCATAAATAACTATATACTTATTTGTTTGGAGTAAGTTTCTCAGCACATTCACCATAAAGTGAAATGCCGACAGTGTAGCACTACCACCAAAGAGTCTGCCACCGCGTTTGTAAATTTTTACGCCATTGATGAGACTTAAAAGGGACAAAATATAATCATTGTTCAAATAACGTTATGGCGAGTTAGTCTCTTAATACACTATATACAATTTTCAATGTGACAATGTGACCAAGACTATTGACGTTGTAAAAACAGGTTTAAAATATTTGAGGCTGTCATCTACGAGTTTGAAAAAATTATACACAAAGCACATATATTGATATCTAATCACAAAGCGATAAAGAAAGATTCAAATGACACCGTGTTTCTGGGTCCGTAGGTGGATTTAATTTGTTGACCTTGAACCGTACATTTCAAACCTTAACAAAAAACTTGGAAGATGCGACTTACCTACTGACTTAAAAATATTGGGATAAATGAGTAAACTACAGATCAGCCGCTTTAACAATATTTTTGGACTCATTGCTTACGAAAGCTATAGCTACGTCCGTCACGACGAAATAATCGTTCAACTAAAATTTAGCAAATATACCGCTCGAGGGGTGCTGCAGAACCATAGTCCCTTGTATATGGATTTCAGGGATCTTTGTTAGATACTTCATACAATGATGCTTGATGCGAAATGTGTTTTCTATGAACATAACAATCAAATAAAAAGGCGAGTGCATTCCTTGAGAATTGTAGCGAAATTAGAAGCCACGAATAATGAATATGGTAAAATCAACGAATTCGAATAGATTGAAAGGAGCTAAGCCTATACACGATGACTTTGAAGTTGAGTCATTAATTTTCAGATAATGATTGTAGAAGGAAGATAAACCAAAATATGTGTGTAAAAATAAAAAATAAATTCAAGAAAAATGTTTACCTTGTTTTATAAAGTATCCTCCCGACAAGTATTTCAGTGCGGACCTGTATTTGATCGTGAGGTCCCCTGTGAGGTCTTAAGTCACCTGATTCACGAGCCCGTTGTACTACATTAACAAAGGCACGAGGGGTTGGTTGCACTCGATTGGGAAACCGATCCGCATAAACATGTGCCATTTTTTATTTCGTTTGAGCCACGCAACATACACTATTCACACGCGTTACGGACTGACACTTACTGTATGTATAACTGAACTGAATAAAATAATTGTAAAAACATCGTTCCAAATTCTTTCGCTTTTTTGTTTCCGATGCGATGAACCGATGAGGCGGATTATATCCGTTGTTGCCAAACACGAGCACATGATATTATTATTGAGACAGGGCGGTACTCAAACTTCCAAAGGGCTATAACTTTGTTACTTTAATTTTACCAGAAAAATGGTAAAGGAAAAAACATTTCTTTTGATCAGATCTACTCACTGTTAAAATAAATGACTCAACTTCGAAGTCACCCTGTATGTTTACATTGCCAAAAGTGTATAGTCTAGTCAATTGACCATTGATATTAAGTGTACTCACAGTGTACAGTAGCGCAAAATTGCTATCTGTGTCAGTTATTGTTAATAAACAGGGATACATGAAACAAGGCAAAGAAAAAAAATACTCGTTTTTTTCGATGGGTTTTCCATTGCTTTGATCCTACCAGATTTCTGGCTAAATGCAAATACATAGTTGAAATTACTGCTATAATATCGATACCACTATATGTATCCAATAAAAACAGTTTTGGGAGTAATTGAATTATTAATTTGACATTCATCGTTTTTTTTTTTGGCGCACTGAGCTCTTTCATTAAAATTACGTAGCACTTAAATGACAACGTAAAACAGCTATTTCCAACACGGAAGTAAAGACCTTTAGAAATAACATTTAGATTCAAAATTAAAATGTGGAAGACTCAGGGTTGAAGTGTCGGCTGGCCCTTTTCAGTATCCATCCAAAAAATTAGTTTGTTTCCAATATCCTGCACGTTTCAATGCTGTTAGGTCTGTTAACAAACCTTAGATTGTTCATTTTAAACTGATTTTGCAATTCCCCAGGAAGCTTCACCATTTTCGGCAATTGTCTGAACCTTTGGGAATGTATGCAACCCACCAGGAGTCTACGTATTTTTATATGTTTTCACAGGAAAATACGATATTTAATGTGATATGACAACAACTGTCAAACTGGCGGCTTGAACCTGATCGACTTGAAGCATGAAGCTGCATCTTGGCTACTGGCTACGTATCTTAAAAAGTGACATTTTGTCGGTTTGTTTTACATTTCGTGGGTTTTTTGTGACATAACGTATGTTTTTCCACAATGTTAACTTAGCACAACCTGTTGTGAACTCGTTTGTAGCTGTACACGTGTTCCCTAAACGTCAACGAACAGCGATCACACCGAGCAAAGGTGGAATGAACTATTTGCACGCTAAAAACTACCTAATCTGCAAGATGATATTTCGTCGGTAACGTTTTTTAAGTTTTCTACCGAATACCCATGCCGTTCAAAACAAACCGAAAAGGTCTCCTTCTTCCTTCAGAAAAATATTTGACAACTCTCCTGTCACTCCCT